CATAAAGGATTTCGCAAAGCCTTTGCAATGAAAGGGTAGGGCTGGCACAAGGAAAAACTTTCAACTTCGCTTTGCTCGATAAATTTGAAGCTGTACACAATGACAATATTATTGTAAATGTTGGACGCGGTAATGTAAAAATGTTTTGTTTTTGCGTTTCATTTTTTCTTATTTTTTGAGGAATGGAGGAAATTTTGTAATAAAGTTAACGTTCTTATTGAATTCATTGAGTTTTTTATTTTAATGAACGCATTGGAGAACAAGCATCATTTGCGGACTGAACCGGTCACCGACTATGGACTGTAGGGAGTCGGTTTTATTTTTTGAAAATAACGATTTGAACAGTATTAGAATTGACAATTTATTACAATACATTTGACTAATACATGTACATATTTGAAAAATTGATTAAAGCTTCATTTACGGTAACTAAATATTAACTATGGGCTGAAATCGTTCTGTAATGTTGTAAGCTTAAGTTATAAAGTCGTCTACATATATGTAAAGAAGTGGATATATAGTTTGTTTCATGGAGTCGGCTGTAGAGTGGGCTACTTCAAAATCAAACGTGAAACTTGTGGGACGCATTGAAGCAGCCGTAGTTTACAGCAGCTAGTCCTCTAGCCATTGTCAACAATATTGCGGACGCTGCTGTTTGCAGTCAGAGGTCCCATCTCAAGCTGTTCTTCCGCCAACACTTCCTGTAATGACAAAAACGTTGCATATACTAAGTCAGTTAACTACATCTCAATATCACAAGCATGGAATGTTTAAGAATGTTTCAAGAAAATAAATTACACCTTTTCCATTGCATACACGTAGGCTATGGAGGAGCTGACATTTGGTTATTTCGACTTATATGCATGTACAATTTGCTTGAAGTCCGTGAAGGTTCATTCTAATGGCGCTATTCCACACCGACTACCAATTCTACGAACAATTTAGAAATTAGTGGGGAATCGTGGGATTTTGCACATTTCTGGTAGAAGTCTTGGCCCTGTAGGATTCAGTTACAAATTGGTTAAGAAAGACTTAAGAATATTCGGGGGATTCTGCTTGAACAGTACGAATGTTGTCAAGAGATAGTTATGATTTTTTTAAAACGTTAGGAATACTTTACGAATATTAGTATTTAATTAACAGAAAGCTAATTAAGGATATTGTTACCCTTTATTATCATCCAAATTCCGAAAATGAGTTTTTTTACTGCATCTAATTATTCAATAATGCATCTGTCTTTGTGCTGATTAAAAAAAATAAAAAAAATAAAAAAACTCTCAAAAATATAAAATAACAGCGTTTATATTTTTTCGTTGCAATGTATAAGCATAGGCAACATCAAAGCTTTAATAGTCTATTTAACACCTTTCTATTTTGAGATGAGATACAGTAGAAATCGGTACGGGACGTAACTTCACCCTTGAACAAAATTAAGTAAAAGCCTGGAATTTATCTATTCCTGTTCATGGCATTCGTAGTCGGTGTGGAACAGGGCTGTAGAGAAGCAGCGAGTATTCACTTTATTAGAAGCAGTCAGTGTCATAAAACCAGGCGTTACCTGAGCAATGTCTAAAATGGGAGAGGTGACCATATCGGTTGGAAAATTATTCACGTAGTAGTCACAGAGCCAACTGAAATTAAATTAATAAATGAATATAAAACTATAACAGACAAATGAATGTAGTGAATTATGGCTTTAAAAAGTTCAATAAAATTGCTAGCGATAAGGAGCCTTGAAGGAAGAAAAATAACATTGATAAATTTCCTACCGATGACTTAAAAGGCCAGTCATGTTGTCAATTCTTTGGTTCACGTTGCTGAAATGAAATGAATCAGTGCTGAAAGTTCAATATGAGACCAGTTGGGGATAATGGCAACTGAAGACAAACTATTTCTTCGGAGTAAGCAAGACTTATTTTAAAAAGTGCATTATTAATTTTTGTGTCTTTAGACAGGCCAATGCTACCCTAGGTTCTAGATTTCACTATTGCCATCTCCATTTCATATATAACCCATATCAGCAATACGGATACTGTAAAGCTACCCCATAAGGTATGAATAGTAAGCAAGCTAGCTTTATAGTGCCCTGACACTCAAGGACAGCCAATGCTTAAAAGGCTAGTGATAGAGTTGTTCACGGCATTTCATTAAGGCATTTGCTTACCAGACTAATCTGTTAATCAGATCCCTGAAGACATGCTCTGTATCTGTGTAGATGATGGTGCCTTCGAGGATTTTCATTATGGCTTCTGCTCTAGTTGGCAACTCGGTCCAAAGTGGGTGTCTAAATAAATCGACCAAAGTTATATGTCTTCCAACACTTCCTACTTTTCTAAAACTATAAAGTTTTTTTTTTTAATTAGTGCTTAATTTTCAGGTTTCCTGTTCATACGACTTGCAGCTCCAAAGAAGAGGGTGTTATTTTGGCGTAATGTTTTCTATCAGAACTATTGGCATGAATAACAGTTCAGTCATTATTCACATAACTGCATTCTTTTTATTACCTTCCCTCCATCAATTCAAACAACAGGACACCCAAGGCGTAATAGTCTGCCCTCCAAGAGGCGGCGCCACCCCTCAGGACCTCTGGAGTCATGTTTTTATATAGGGTGAAATTCATGAACTCCACTCCATGGACACTCTCCCCGGCTTCATTTAAAGGGTGAACGGACCCCAAATCACACTGTAAGAAAGAAATCCGCATTTATAATTGAATGAAAAATGGAATGCTCTGGTTACCAAAAATGAAAACGCTGATTACATCCAAAGTTTTTTTATCAGTCTAATACAAAATCATATTTTTACCAGTCATAACATGTTTTCATTCAGATTATGACACGTTGGTGACACATTACAGTTATTTTAGGTACGTAAAAGCGAGCCTTGGCGAAGAGCGAAGCGGTATCCGAAATCAGGCCCGACGAAGGAAAGTCGCAAGGCAAGAAGAGAGAAATAACCTGAATTTATTTACTCAGAGAGACAAAACTGAGCCACAACAAAGCGACCATCTTACCAGTTTAGGGATCCCGTGCACACTTATCAACACGTTATTCGTTTTTATATCAAAATGGGCTACGCTCCGTTGGTGCAAGTGCCCAATAGCCATACAGACACAAGTGGCTACATACTTCACCATCTGAAGAGGAACTTCGTCCCTAAGAAATAAATAAAACCAACTGTCAGTATGATATTTTTGTTAACATTCAGGGGAAAATATTTTGTTGAATAACGCATTTTTATGAAATAGATATTTTTAGGATCGAACAAGATAAAATCAGAAAAAATGAAAGGATTAATTAAAGAAAAGAAAGTTATATATTACTTACAAGAATGTTTCCCAATACTCCCGGAGAATGTCCAGGTCCATTGGACATAACTCCGACAGCAGGACGGGAAATCCACGTCGTAAGTCGAATGAGTGAACAAGTCTGGAACGGAAATTTCTCATATCAGACTGAGATTAACTATATCGGGTTGACGAAAGATTCTGAACCTGTACAGAGTAATTTCTCATTGTATGATAAATAATTGAGATTTTACAGTTACGGTTTATGACGGTTTTTTCCGTCCAGTATGTATTTATTCTCATTCAATTTATTATAATGGTATTGTGAAATATGTTGATAATCTAAGTGCCAAACTTTTAACGAGGTAAAGAGATTATTATTTGGCGTATTTCATAAAAGACATCCGTGTTTCATAGGTATGTAAGCTTACAAATTAATAAACATATTAAATTGTTTGTATTCAACTGATAAAATACCTCAAGATAAATTTGCTGTCTATCCTCTTCATAAAAGAAACTTCTCTGTAGATGGACCTTGCATAGGCCTCGGAGGTTGGTACCTTTAATGCCAGGTTGTCTTTAAACTAAACGTAAAATATTTCGGTTAGTGGAATGTCACATCCTTAAATAATAATAGCAAAGATAAATTGGTCTCATTACTAAATCACTGTAAACATATTGTTCTTCTGCTACTGCTTAAAATATCTAAAAAATACATAATAACTGTCATGTCTGTGTGTACCAATGCTACTGTTATTGCTACTCCAGCTTTCCCAGCAACACTTTCGTTTGTTTATCACGATAAGTTCAATACCTTGTATACTGCACCGAATCCTCCACCTCCCAAAATCGGAAGCATCGTGTCTTCCTTCCAAAAAAGAGCCCGAACCTTAAGCATTGAATAAAGGGAAATCGATAAAAAGTGCAAAACTCTAGACTTAAATTTGCTTTTATCTGAACATATCCTATATATATAAAATAATTGAAACTTCGCTCTTAGTTACCAAGACAAATTGAATCTTCTTGGCGAGTGAAATTATCAAAATTAGTAAAATAAAATGGCCTGATTACTTCTTAAACTAAACTTTAAAGACGCCCCATGGAATCTTATTTTGATTTATAAGAACAAAGCAACAATGGTTGTAAAGGGGTTGATGCACAGATATATTGGTAGGCCTACCAACAGTTTTTCGATTTTTGTTCTGCCAAAAAGCAATATCTTACCTCGTTTTCGAGTCTGAATGTTTCTCTGTGAAAAATATACATGTAACTGTATTTCATGCCTAAAAAGGCCATATGTGACGCAACTATCATCGTATATATAGTCTATTTTACTCGAAAGAAAATCGCCGTAATCACTTCGCTTGCGCGCAGCATATCTCCAGTAACTTTTATGTTACCTGGTAACGTCGGCACGGGCCAATGACGTCACAATATGTTTTGCCTTTTAAGGGTATATTTATCACGTGAAATATGCATGCACCCTAAATGGGAAATGGGCGTTTTTTTCATGGAGACAGTTATATAAGGTTGAAAGTATATTGTTACTGCCCATAGTGACAAATGGTTTTAATAAACGCAATATTCTATACCGACTTGTAACTTGCTTGCTTACATTTCTTTCGATTTGAAGAAATATTGAAATTCTCTATTTTAAAAAGAAAAGTTTTTTTAAAAGACTCTACGTAACACAGACATAACGTAACACAGTAGGCTATAAATCCAGTTTTTTTTTTTTTTTTTTTTAGGACGGAATTGGTAGTGGTGTGAAAGTGTTTGGTGAATTTCACACGGATGGATTTTATAACCTGCAATTGCATTCATTTGAAATATAACGATCGAAATAGAAGTTTCCAAAACGGGTAAAGCGCGAATGGCATCAAATCTCCCAACTGGCTGCCTTCGTGTGAATGTAAACGGTAATAAGTCATCTTCAGTCGAATTTTATATTTAAGCAGGAATTCTCTGCTACGAGTAAAAAGTGCCCAAAAATAGGCCCTGTGAGGCTGTGATTTTCAATGCCATCGACCTACTTTCGATCTTACCTTTCGACTGTCTCGTCTATTTATGCCTCTCTTAACACAGTCATAGCTGATTATGGCGCGAGATCATCTTAGATGTGGTCTGTCAACCGAGTATGCGACAAAATTCTTACATGTCGAAAATATCCGAGTCCTGCATCGTGAATTTAGTGAGTTTATTGTTAATATATGAATTTATTTAATGCTTAATTCGAATTGTCCCGTCAACACAATGAATTTCAAAAAGTGCTTTTTTTCGTGGGGTAGGGGGAATAAATGAAAACGAACCCCTATATATATATATATATATATATATATATATATATATATATATATATATATATATATATATATATATAAGGTACCCCTTCCCTAACATCAAGAGGTGTTGGGTTCTTACATCTACAGCGGGACATATTCATGTAAGATAGTCGATTCTAGGGGCTCTAATCCGACTCGGGATTGTCTAGGTATCGGCTCGAGTTATGCCTGGAGAAAAAGTTACGCAACACCGCAGTTTTATTTCCAAAACCAAAAATCATATTTATTACCTGGACATTGCCTAGTTTTGTGGAAGAAATCTACGTGACAGAAATTACCAAATTTTGAATTAAGTTTAAGTGAGAAGGGGCAACTGAAAATTAAATTTCGACTGATAATTAAACGAGCTGCGTGCATGCAACTCCTTTAAATCAATTTGCAAATCTGATTATTATTTTTCCATCTGCACACGACTTCCGGTTTATTTTTAACAAATAGAAAAATTAGAGAATACAGTTTTATTCAACTATTATATACAGTAACATTCAATTTCAAAAGTACTTAAGTAATCATTAATGAATTATGTAAATGCAATGGATCAATAAATGGTAGTACCCGATGCCCTCGGGCCGTGGGGAAAAAACCATCTAAACCCTTCGTGGGGAATGCCGGGAAAATGCCCACGCCCGAATACTAGAAACATGATAACTTCAGTTTTATTATTGGCATGGCGCCTTACAGTTCATAAATATTGCCCCGTTTTATACAGCATGGTGCAACCGAATCGACTTTCTCGTGACTACAAACTATTCTCTATATGCACTATACTGGTACACAAGATGAAGCACAATAATTTACCAAAGTACATGTAATTCCTACTGAAAGAGGTACAGAAGACAATTAAGACATTTACTAGAGTCTTAACACAATTAAACTGAGGCTTATTTCAACTTCATCTAGCCTTGAAATCGCAACTACCTATAGAATACAAGTAAAGAAAAAAGCAAGCTTGCTTCGACATATTTCATATTTCACATAACACTGTATGACCGTCCATGCAAATTTCAATATGAATTTTTGGGTCCGGAGAAAAAAGGTGCATATATGATGAATTGGATATATTTGTCAACTATAACACTTGAGAAAATCATAATATTAGTAATATTAGTGCGATCCTCAAACTTGAGAGATGACCGTGTGCACCCAGCCATCCCTCACGAGGAGCAGACTGTGTACAAAAATATAATGAAATATTTTTTCAAACGTAAAATATTTCATTATAGATTTTGCACAAGCTGTCAATGTAAAACCTCTTCATGTAAAATCATTTACATCAAGTCGGATTTTACAAAGATGTGAGGGTTAGTTGAGGTAAGTGTGCGGATTATGATCTTCTCAAACGCTATACTGACGAACAACTCCACATCATCAAAAGCACAAATTTGAAAGATAACTACATCACTAAGATTGAAATAAAACACAGACGACCATAAGTGGTAGTAATACCAATGTTTTGCGAGCGAAAACATATCTGCATTTAGAATGTGGTTAAAGCAACTGGATATTCCGTTTTAAATTTTAATAATAATTGTAGAGGCAGACTTAGACGAAGAACCACAATTCATCTTATTCAATTGAACATTTATGGGATTATGAATGATCATACTGAACTTCAGTTTTCTCTTAAGCTATTGGAATAAAATGTTTCACTGTCATAAGTGAAAAAATAAAACTTACTAAACGCAAGTACACTCATATCTGTGACCCATGAAGCTCAAAAATTCTCAATATATAAAATACATGAGTACATTATTAGATAACATTCAGTATATTGCTCTTCATTACCATTCCACATTCTCTTAAATTTTTTTTGCAGACAAGCTGTGTCCTTAAAAACCATGACTGCTAGGACGTTCGATCATCAATGAAAGTGGCTACAAGGGCTCGTTGCTAGCGCCAATAAGTGTTTCACATCTTGGACATTTTGGCTAGGATTGATGGTATCTGCGTTCGGCCATTATTTCTGGAAAACTGCCCTATCGTAGCCTACAAATGAAATGTAATGTTCACACAAAAGCATGAAAAGTAATTGAGAGCTTGCAGTAATTGCAACAAAAACATTTATGTCACTGGTATTTACACATCGTTATCTGTAGTAAGTATTTTGATGTTCCATAATGCTTTGGTTCTTTTAAAACACGATTATTTTATTTTATTTTATTTCTATAACACAACACAAAACAACATTATGATTTAGGAGAGTGCTAATATTCTACAAAAAGAAAGTGACTAGTAAATAAGAGGGATAAAGGAAGGAATATGAAACGCCAAAACCCCTAACAATCTGAACAATATAAACAGATGAAAATACATGCTCACATATACGATTGCCTCTTAGTACCACAAGGGCGAGGCTGAGGGTAGTAGCTTCTGGTATTCTAGACCAGTGACAACGCCACGTGTGTCACATTGAAACTGATGAAGATCTGAAAGTTGGCCGATAGGATGTCAAAATATTTTGCTTGAGTGATTTTCTTTTGCAAAATTGTGACAAATTAAAAGCTTTTGACCACTAAAATGAGTTTTTTCACGTTTTTTTTTTTTTTTTGCAAGTTTGTGACAAATTGAAAGGGCTTTTGGATTTTAAAACGTCTGCTATATGAATTTTCTTGAGTATGTTGTAAATAGAAAACAAAAATGTCTACATTTAGACAACTGTTTCAAAAGGGTCTAATTTAAAACAATTTTGTCTAAGGCGTTGCACAAAATGCCCAGTTTGTTGAATTTGTATTGACAAAAGATATGCAATATCTATAGAATAAATGATAATTAAGATCTTTTTTATTCTCTACCCTGGCCTATAACTTACATTAAAGGGTCCTAAATTCCAATGATATAACAACTAGGCAAGGACTCTTGAAATTCCAAATGCTGATATCGCTTTCTCCATTTTAAACTTATGAAAATGGACCATCAGGCCAGGCGCTCACCAATGCTATCTGCCTCAACTTCAAAACAGAAATTTAGAAGACATTAGTTTCCCTATTTACCTCTTCTCCCTACCCAACCCACTAACCTCAATTTAATTTTTTTATTCCAGAAGTGGAAGTGAGCTGTATAATTAATGTGGCTAAGGGCTTTATCTCAAGAATTTTGTAAGTTAAAAATGACTTTAGTGTATTATTCTCTGCAATAACATGAGTTACCTTTTACGGCTTCCATAGAAGGTTTCCATTTCCGAGGAACACCATATGCTTCCGATGTTCCCCAATGCAGCCACCTTGTAAACAGACCATGGCTGGAATCTTCTTACGAAAAGTGGGAGCTCTATCTGGATTTGCCATAATCGAATTCTGTAAACAGAAAGAAAAAATAGCATTAGTTTGTTTAATTCCCATAAACCGTGTATTTAAAGCAGTCTGCGTCATAAGCAGTTCAATTTAAATAGTCGTTAGTTTTATTAGAAGATCTAAATTGCAATCATTTGTTACAAGTAACGACTCATGACTGCTCCATTTTAATCCTTTTGGTTTAGAATTAAAGACTAACCTCAAAGGAACTTTCATGAAACCAATATCAGTGATTTTAACGAGTAGCAAAGAGTACCTGTGCCACGATGACTTCAAACTGTTAGAAGTTAGCCTTCAAGTCATCTTCTGTGCTCTTCCAAGGCAAACCCAGCACTATCAGGTCGCTGCACTTCTTGCTGTCCAGGCAGTCGCTTAATTTTCACGTTGCAATTTTCCAGGGTCTCAACTCCTTTTCTTTTATTCTCTAAAATGGTAACTTTTTCCAATTATTATTAAGACCGTTTATTGAATTACCAACCCTTTGCTGTTTCAAGATGTCTATTATTTTATGTGTAATCAATGACTGACACTTATTATAGTTCAGACAAGTAGATTTGTCAGAATGTTTAAATTGGTCATTTGACCATAAGATTTTTTAAGTTTTCAAAATAACTTTTGGTGTGATTTAATTTTTAATGTAACTGTTAAATCATAATTCTAAAAATGTCAAGGTCTTGTTAAAAAGTGCAATCCAGTCCAGTTTTATTTAAATTTGTATTCGGACCAGTGAATCCCAACTCAGACCAGTAGTTTTGGGGAAAGTTTAGGTCCGAATGGCCAGTAAGATGAATAGTTTATGGCAAAGACTGCAACTCAAAAAAACCTTTTTAGTCCAATTCTCTCCCAATCACCCGGTTTACCTTTCAGGGTTTTCCATCTCAGTAAAACACCATATGCCTTGGACGCTTCTCCAATGCAGCCGACTCGTAGACGGACCATGGTAGGACTCGCTGGACGCTTCCCCAATGCAGCCACCTCGTAGACAGACCATGACAGGACTCGCTGGACGCTTCCCCAATGCAGCCACTTGGAAGACAGGCCATGGCAGGACTCGCTAGACGCTTCTCCAATGCAGTCACCTCGTAGACAGACCATGGCAGGACTCGCTGGACGCTTCCCCAATGCAGCCACCTCGTAGACAGACCATGGCAGGACTCGCTGGCACCAAGGATTGATCGACGTAGCTGAAGTGTAGATGTGGCCCTCTTCTCCTTGCAGTTGTCAGTGGGAGCTCTATCGAGAATCGCCATAATCGAGTTCTGTAAACAGAAAGAAAAACGGATTAATGACTTTTCCTACCTATGTCAGCACTCTGCAGTCAAGCTTACCTTTAAAGGTTTTCCATCTCAGTCACCACATGCCTTGAACGCTCCC